TCTCCTCCGCATTGTCTCTATTGTCTCTGTCCGCAAACATTTGAACGACCGAAATGACTAGCACGCAGGTAACGTTGATCTGTCGTAAAATTTTATCCTTCCTTTTAACGATATTACTTTACCATAATTTTACTTTACCATTCGTTTAACGTTTCCCTTCGAAGATTCTTTTCAAGAATCTTTGGATAAAGGCATTAAATGAACCGATCGAGTCACGTGATTCAGGTCAGGTAATAGAGTTTAAAACGCAAGGCAGGAAGGGAGAGGAAAGATGGATCGTAATTTTTAAAAGTTTTGAATAGATTTATCAGGTTTTAAGGAGGTATTAAGGGAAAAGCGTTGTATGCATTGAATTCTGTGCGATTAATGTAATTGTCTTTGTCGTTGAAGTCGTTAAAGTGTCTAATCTATCTGGCTTCGGTGTGCATAAAAATGTACCGTATTAATCCCTCAAATAGGCCATTTTTAAATTCGAAACCAATTCATCACAGGATTGCTTCTCTACTACTCTATTAAACGGTATTATCCTTAATAATGGCAATTGCACGCCAATATCTTACAAATCGCTTTTTTCTTTTCCCTCTCTTGCATTTGACATCCTAGTTGACATTTGTCGAGTGTCAAACGTGTTTAATTTCTCAAGAACGAGTGATCATTGAATGATTTTTTTTGATATTAAAGACTGATGTAGCTAGATGTCATCGGTTACTCGATACTCGACGATTACACAATGAAGATTGTGTTGTGTAACTACTCTGGATAGCATTCGATATATTAGTAACGTTACCTCTATTAAAGAAACCTAAGATCATAGTCTTTCCAATTAAATTTCCCTTTGTTCCCGCGCGCAAGTTACCTTGAAGTTAAAAATACGATTATAATCTTGCTGCAAAATAATTGTGGATAATTTCTTACTTAAATAATTGCAATAAAAAAAAAAAAATGAAAAGAAAAAAACTCTCTGAATTCCAAGCAAGTAAACGCGATAATCAATGGTTTTGTTACAACCGTCGCCTATCCATTTCCCCCCAGACATCAGTCCCTGACATTTCAAAGCGTTTCTTTCACTCTCTTTCTCTCTGTCCGAGGCGCCTGTAGGGCACGCCTAAACCAGGTCGTATATACCGATATAACTCTTCTCTCGGTTTCCTGTCTAACGCAATAAACCGTACGCGTGTTTCTCCTCGCGTAATATCATGCTCGGGACACGCCTGCCGGAAAGAGGGAGAAATGAACGAAAAACGGAACACGTTTCCACCGACACCGGTGAATCCGTGCATGATTCCTGCCCTGCTCGCGCGATCCTACTTTAATTTATATCGAATCGAATCGCCTCCAAGGACTTTTCTTTTCGATCGCATAAACGAGAAGGATAGATAATTAACTTTACGACTTTATATATACGAATACCACTGATATATATGCGAGTGTTCGCGTCGATTTGACCTCGGTCAATTATGGTAGGCGTGCCATGTTAACAGAGTATAAAATTATATGAAAATTGTATGTATGAAATAACACCAATATGGAATTTCGTATTCGGCTCTCTCGATGTCAGTGGTTCTCATTCTCATTGTCGCTTTTTTTTTAATTAACAAGTTTGAACAACCGAGGTACAGCAATTGTGAGATACAATAAAAAAAAAAATAATATAAATATCGTAAGTCAACTGGAAGTTTTTTGAAAAAAAATTTTTTTTTTTTTCTAAAAGAAAGAAACCAAAGAAAATTCTATTCGAAATCGGTCGAAGGCAGGATTAAACTCGAGCGCCGATCGAGGTACAGCAATTGGTAAAAAAAAAAAAATAATATAAATATTGTAAGTCAATTAGAAGTTTTTTGAAAAAAATTTTTTTTTTTTTCTAAAAGAAAAAAACGAAAGGAAATTCTACTCGAAATCGGTCGAAGGCAGGATTAAACTCGAGCGCCGATCGAGGTACAGCAATTGATAAAAAAAAAAAAATAATATAAATATTGTAAGTCAATTAGAAGTTTTTCGAAAAAAATTTTTTTTTTTTTCTAAAAGAAAAAAACGAAAGGAAATTCTACTCGAAATCGGTCGAAGGCAGGATTAAACTCGAGCGCCGATCGAAGTATAGCAATTGGTAAAAAAAAAAAATAATATAAATATCGTAAGTCAACTGGAAGTTTTTCGAAAAAAATTTTTTTTTTTTTTTTCTAAAAAAAGGAAACGAAAAGAAATTCTACAATGGCGTGACTCGAAATCGGTCGAAGGCAGGATTAAACTCGGGCGCGTTTCCTGCCTGTTGCAGCAGTCAACATCGGTTAATGCGTGATGTATATCGGGTTGTATATCGTGGCCTCCGTGAAAAACAAGGGAGGGAGGAGGGAAGAAGGTGCTAATGCGGGGAATTGTGCAATTCATTGTTCGAACGCGAACTCCAAACGAGATGGGAATCTAATTTCTGCTTAACCGCAAAGACGAGCGTCGTTTAATCCGTTCGCAATTGAGTCTAATTGTAAAGTGGCGTTACGTGTCCCCGCGAGAGAAGGAAGCGCGTGCTGAATTGAAGAGAATGTAATGCGGTTCCGGAAGGTCTTTCGTTTTTTTTTTTTTTTTTTTTTTTTTCCACCGAACGCTTTCAATGCCGACAGATCTCTCGCAATCTGATCTGAAAGGGCCGTATGAAACTTCCTCTTTCGAAAAAAAGGAATGCAACGAGGGATTTTGAAAGAAAAAAAAAAAAAAAAAAAAAAAAGAAAGAAAAAATTATTCACAATTCACGTATTAATACGCTACGCAGAAGACACGAATGATTGCATAATAGTTGGAAATTTTACGAGTATGCTAACGCGTGTTGATCTTGCGAATTACAGAATGAACGAATGGTCCAAGTACGAATGCAATAACCCAACGACGGTTATAACTATGCTTAATTGTCCTGTTAATTGTGGGCTTTAGTTACACGTAAAGTGGTTACGTGCTTGCCACCATCGGTCCACGTTGTTTTCAATAGCCACGAGAGACACGTGGCATTCTGCAATTTTTCTGCAAACGTTCGCGGAGAAATCAAGAATCGAAAGGAGACATCAGACGGTGAACGTGCATCTCATCACGGGTGACAAAACAAATATTTTTAGCGACAGCGACATGTCTCGAGCCTCGATTCATTCGACAACGGATGGAATGGATGATGGAAATTAAGAAATCCATTTCGAATGAAAGATGAACGAGTGAATGGCGGCTATAAATCCTGCTTTAAGCGTGGGCGTGAGTTTTTTATAAGTCCGTGTACCTGCAGCCCTGTAAGGATACGTATAAACCGGTCCTAAGAAAACGCGACAGAGCTGGTTGGAATGCGGAGGAAAAGCTTCCGATTTCCGAAGAATCGAAGCTAGAAAACCGATTGAAGGATCCGGAAGGATCGATTCGTTACGAACCATTTGAAACTCTTCGTATGTTTCAATTCCACGAAATTATCTTTTCGTGAAGAAGAAGAAAAAAATTGAATACGATAAATGAGAAAAAAATGGTAGTGAAAAGAGTCAATAGTTGATTCAAAACGTTACTTCGTCATAAGCTTTCAATGAGCTCGAGCCTCTTTGTGCGACTCTTTCAATTTCTATTCCACGGCCAGTCCAATGGCGCATCGGTAGGAAGCGAAGAATAATGTGTTGGTAGTTTATTCGTCTGGGTAAGAAATAGGAGAAAAACTCTGAACTTTGTATTCCCTTGACAAAAGAATCCGACGAAGCCCCGCACGAGATAACAAGACGCCAGCCACGACCCATCAAAAGAAAACCAATATCGAAGGAGAGTAGATATTTTTTTTTTTTTCGTTCCGAACGGCGTTGAATTATCAAACTATTATGGGATTCAAAGCGGTGGCTATCGGGGTGCATCTATTTTCGGAGATTTCTTCGATCCATTTTCGTTTCTCGATCGACCGAGTTCAAAGAGCATTCCACAAGAAGGCTGCTGGATCTTTCATTTAATTATACAGATCAAAGAACCTTTTCTTCCGTTTCGAAATAATCAAGTACGCCACTCATTTGAACAAAAAGGAAAATTGAATGTCCGTGATGTAAGAGGCGAATTGAGATCGTTCATTGAAAACTAACTCCAAGTTCGATTTTTTCATTAGAAAGGTATTACGAAAGTCGAAGAAAGAATGCACGCGTTGTATTACGCTCCGCCGAAGAACGTTACCGATAATGATCGTTATTGTGCATGAGAATTTCTCACTTATTCCGATGCGCTTCGCAATAACCGCCAATAACGCAACAACAAAGTTGAATGCATAACAAACTGGTGTTGCATATACAAGGGAAACCATAAACATTGTTAGCCTGATGAAACTAAAATTTACTCGAGAAACTAATTATACGAGTTTTCGTTAATTTTATAATAAAGAAAATGATAGAACATGACAATAAAATGGCTGCGACATTGAACGAGAATTTACAGTTAATCTTTCTTGATTTAAAAATTTTTCCAATTCTAGTGAAATTATGATAAATAGAAAAAGTCAATATTAATATGTATTTTTTTTAAATATTCGTGATGAATATGTACCGAAAAAAAGGATAAGGAACGAATCGTTTCGTTGGTTATGTATTTATGTAGTTCGAAAATCCACAAGTGGGTGAGAAAGGCGCCGTATTGTACATATAGCTATGATTCAGTTTGAATTTATTTTTTGCTCGAAAAGAAATTTAACTAAGAAATTTAACTAATACCTATCTAAACTAATTCTATTTGATAAAAAATTTATTTATTCATATTTCGATCAAATGTTTTTGAAAGATCGTTCTTTTACAAAATAATTTAAAAATAAATAAATATATATTTTATTTTGGTAGAATTATACTCGCTATCATACGTTAGATTTCACGATGAAAAAAAATGACATTTTGACGTTAAATTTCAATCAACGTTAATCAATAGATATTTTCGTAGCCAACAAGTGGTAATACATCATCACGTGGAATTCGCATCGTAATACACGTTTCAACATATACAACATACTGAGTACTTACTTTGGAAATAAAGCTCGAAATGCTGCTACGATTTTCAGAACCTTCCAGTTCGTCGAGTTTGCTTCAGTTCCAAAAGTAAAACAAGGCCGGTCGCACAAAGTCGCAAAGCGCACTTTTCGGTAAAACGGTTAGAAAAATAAAACACAACATTCAATACTTCACAGATTCAACACAAAAGGAAAAAACACCCCCACGAATATTACTTGTCGCGATATATAAAGCCTTTGATATTACACGGTACAATTTTGTTCCACGACGCAGAAAAACAATATGCACGTCGAGCCCGAAAACAAACAAAACTAACGCACGCTCGACGGTTAGCGAGCGAATGAGGCTCTGTTTTCCATCAGTCCCACCAACCACCAACCGGGCCAATAACCTGGCAGTATATGCGAGAATGTTTTAACGACTTTCCTGTGTCGAGTCGATATAACAGCGTATTTTATCGACTAACGATACTATAGCGCAAGATATGCAAAATCGTTTTTGTTTTTATCAATAAATATCATCATCAACAACTTTCAACTCATGTTTCGAAATAAATACCGCTATTGAATCATAAATGATTGTTAACTGTTAATATCGATAAACATTCTGCATAACTGCAAATGAAAATGATTAGTAAAAACAAGTAGCAAACATTTCCTTCGTTTTATAATCTTCAATTTTATACTTTTTTCCAACACATTTGCAGATTATTCTTTTTTGTGCATTATTATATTGCATATTGTTTTGACATTGCATTATTATACCATAAACAAAATTGAAAAATATTTATAATTGCAGCACTCGACGGTTATTTATAGAAAAACATTTTAATTTAATTGTATAAATATACGATATAATTTTCGTTGCGTTATAATTAAATTCTGTTAACCGCCATTAAAGTTATTTAGACATTATTAAATAAAAATATACTACCAATACATTTTCTTTTTTGATGATGCTGAATCATACAGTCATGTATTAATATAAATAACATACATACATTAATATAATTTTAAAATTAAATCTTCGAATTTAGAAAAAAAATATTATTTGTTATTTTAAAATCTTTTGTACTTGTTCAAAGATTATTATATAAAAAATTACGTTCCAAATATGCATTATTCATTTTTCTCGTTCACCAAAAATCTTAAAGTCCCAATAAACGTTAGTCATATAAGATCAAACAATTCGTTTCGTAATATAAAAATTTCATTGGTATAAAAATTACAATACGATGATTATAAAAGTAAAACATATATGTATTTTTTTTATAAATAAAATATACTTTCACGTATTATTTTTAATACATATATGTATATGTAATTGTTACATATAATTACATATAGTCTGTGCTTCAATAGCTATTAAAAAATATGTCTTTTTTGCATTGTAATTTTATGGCCAGAATTTCTACTATCACGCATTATAAATTTGTGCCAGCAGGTACAATGAGTACACTGTTATAATAATTGTAAAAATTAGACTTAAAAATAAATCCATTTAAAAAATATTAAAAAAGAATATAAATTTTCAGCATATTATTGCTTAAAAAATAGTTGCAAAACAACTTTTATATATTCATCATATCTGTAATCATAAATATGATATTTCATGCAATAACAAAAAACTTATCACTCTAGCAAGAAAAAACAACAGGCACTTTGAAAATATATTACATATTATTTGTTTAATACTTAAAATTAGAATATCTAAAATTTTTAATAATTTCATTTCGTAATTCGTAATTTCAATTCGTAATTCATTGCATAGTCTAAAAATGTCTTTCTTAAGACATATATAAAAACAGTTTAGCCCTAATGTAATAATACTTTTTTTCCAAATTAAAAAATTCTTTAACATATTCTAATACAATTCATATTCTCGCGACAAACTGCTCTTTCTTTTTTTATCTCTTCATTGTTTTTTCTTAACTTTAACATTTTTGGTCCATTGAATATTGCTCTTTTCGATTTCCAACTATTATATATCATCAATAATGAAGATTTCAATCTTCGATTCAATAACAAACATAAAAATTTAAAAAGCACTTGAAAGGTCACTATTACTGCGGGAATAGGAATCGCAGCTTTATAATATCGAAAAGTGCTACTAAATAATAACAATATATATTATATACAATTTAAAAAATGTTGTGTTTCTCTTTTTTTTCTTTTCTAAAACATTTAAAAAATAAAATTCTAAAAACTATGCCAGTTCATCGGTACATTGCTTCCTCTCTTCTTCGACTCGTTGACGAGTACGATTAAAAGCTTCGGTTTTCAAGAAATCCACTGTTTTATATACTGTTGTATTTGGAGGAGATTGAGTTGGTGGTAAACTTGAAGAAGTAAAGTTTTCCGTTGCTTCTAAATCGAGATCTAGATATTGCAAAACAACAAGGCTTCGATTTGAAGCAGGAATAAATGTGTTTTGCTCTTGATAGTAGTATATCTGAAGAATAGATTATATCAAAATATAATTATATATATACACAAACACACACACATATAAATTGATATTAAATAAATATAATATAAAATAGATTTTTATATACCTCTTCTTTATCATCGAAAGCATTATTATCTTCGTCCGATGTTGATAAATGTCGATTTGGATGAACGTGAATTGGAGGCGTAGGACTAGGAGCCGCTCTAATTCTTCCTCTTCCAGGTGGAGAAGCTAATTGCAAAGGTCCTAAATATAAATGATTTTATTTTTTTTTCTATTTAAACGTAATAGTTGGAGCATGAAAAAAAGATGCAAATATTTCTACCTTCTACAGGAGATTTATTCAATGGAGGTTTAAGCTTTCTATTGATACTTGGTGGTTCGGCAGGAGAATGCTCGGCAGAACTCATTTCCAAAACTGATGCTATCGGTCCTGGAGAAGGTTCATTGCTAATAACTGATGTAGAATCACTAGTTTTTCTTCCTGGCTTTAATTCCCGATAGACGACTGGTGGTGGTGGTGCCATTGTTGTCGGTACGGAAGTTGAATTATCTCGAACAAGTGGGCTTGGTAAATTTGAATACGTAGCAGTTGTTGAACTTTCAGAACGTGGACTTGATGGTTCTTCTTCTTGAAAATCGTAACGGAATACGCGTGCATCTTCAATATTGCTTGGAGCAGCATTAGAGTAAAAATGTTTGTCTATTGTGTTTGGTTCGGGTGCTCCTGGTTGATGAGATCTTGGAAAATCGTACGATTCGTCTGTTACAATTGCAGTTGCAGGTGTTGACGGCGCAGGAGTCGCTGGAGTTGTGGGTTTTGAACTTTCTGTAGCACCATCTAAATTTAAATAGTTGTGACCAGGATTTTCAGGTAACATATGAGGAGGTTTTGGTGGTCTAGGAGGTGCTGGTAACTTTTCTACAGAAAGTGGTAGAGTAGAATCTACAATTCTTAATTTTCCGAATCGTTTTCGAACACTCCAAGAACCAATTTCGGCATCACTCGATGCAGATTGTTTGGATTCACCTATTATAAAAAAATTAATGTTATTCATTTGACAAATTCAATTAGAAGTATATATTTGATATTTACCTGTAGAAGGAAAAGTCTCCCAATTTACGCTAGGCACTGGAGCTGTCCATTCATCATCAGTGAAGACACTTTCTGCATCAGTTGTTGTAGGAGATCTAGGAGGAGAAGGTACTAATCGTCTTGGGGCATCATAATGTTCAGGTCCTTGTCCCAAAGCTGAATTGAGAGAACTAGTATCGTTTAATGTTCGTCGACCAGAAATACATTCGCTAATAGGAATATAAGGACCAGAGATAGTGCTTGTGGGTGAAATTGGTGGAGACTCTTGCGTTTCAAACTGGAACACTATAAAAAAATTATAATATTATATAAAATTTTGTTTGTATTAAATTTTTAATATTTTATTTTTTTTCTATCATTAATTTATTAAATAATTAAATAAATGTTATATTATTATTATAATATAAATATATATATTATAATATATAATTATAATATATACTTTGACATTGCTGTTCCTCATCTTGAGTGTATGCCTTTAAACCACAAACTTGACATACAGCATCTACCCACTTATTCATATCAGCTTCACTTTCTGCCACTAAATAATATGTTCTTTTTGGTGTTTTAACATTGAACATATATTGATACTTTTGCTTTCGATTTTCAAATCTCAAGCCTGCATCTACCTATTTGAAAATATAAGTAATTTTTAAGATATAAATAAAATTATAAAATCTATTAAATTTATTTTATTATTTTATAATAAACAACTACCTGTTCGCATTGATCAAGATCAATACGGCCTTTTAATTTTCTACATTGTCTGTCTGTATAATATTCTAAAAAATATTGCCCAGGTAATTCTCCACTATGTCGAAGAGCAAACCATCTTTTCCTCCATCGCTAAAAATATAAACAATAATGTCATTATTTAATTTAAGAATTTAATTTAAAGAAGATTGATATAATTCATATATTTAAATTATCATTTAAATTTAACCATTATATATATATCATATAAAATTGTTTGCGTTAAATATAATTGAAAAACTATTTACAACGTTAGCATTCTTGGATAAAAATATCACAACATTCCACACTTATGAAACATTTTTCAACGTACGAGGTTAGACGCTAAAAAATTTGATGAACGAGATACAAATAATAATCGTTTGACAAGTATTTAAGTACGTAAACAATAAAAAAATTTATAAGAAAAATAAAATTTCGAATTTGTTATTATTTTGTAAAATACTAACCGCTCGCCAAAGTTTGGTAGGTGGCGATTTAATGAGCCACCCTTCATGAACAATCTCTTGACTGGTTTTGAGTACCTCCATTCCTATCCGGCGTTGGTTATAAACTTTTAATAATTGTGCATTGTTACAGAGTGCGTGGAACCACCGACAACAAGGATGGCACGCTCGTCGTTCATTTATCTATTTTCGGACGGCACAGCAGCGATCTCACAGATATACCGACCATCTAGCGATCTCTCTTCGATGATGCACGACTAACACATCAATAGCATTCCACTACTAACGTACATCATCAACGATAAACACCCTCTGAGGAGTTATAGAAGAATTAAAGAGGAACACCGAAGCGAGACGATGATATACAGAGAAGTCTAACTATCGTCGTCGTGCCTCCATTACCACCACCATCTTGGCCACGCATGCCAAACCGTATCAAACATCATCGATGACACACGCTTTTCTTTATGCATATATCTGTTATATAAAATCATATGCTTCAATCTATATATCGAATTTTGAATCATTCTGAAAATCAAATTGTTGCTCGTATTATGAAAATTTGTTTGGATTCATTTGATTAACAGATCTACATGACGCATCGTCTCGTGACCTGAATAAATGGCGCAGCATTGCGTTCGAGTTGAAAATTGTCAGTCTAATTCAACAAAGAGAACAAAGGAATTCGCGAAGAAGTTTTAAGATCAATATTAAATACCATTTCGTCTCTTAATACACATATTTTTATGCGTAAATAAATGATAAAATTCTAACTGCAATATATGAATAATTTAATAAATAAATATATATACAAAAACAAAGATTTTCTCATCTTGTTTCAAACTGTATTCTAAATTGTATTCTAATGCTTTCTCGCAAGCTATTATTTGCGATGCATATTCAGATTACAGTGAAATCATTCTGGAATCTAGAAATTTCGATCGATTCGCGGCTTCGAATTGCGAACTATCGCGCAAAACATTAATGTCTATATTAACAAAACATATTTACATATTGTTAACATAAATTGTTACAAGCATGCAATTGCGAACGTGCGATAAAACAAATTTTCATTTTGTCATATTTAATTGTACATCGACATCGATTTGGGACTCGAAACTCGACAGCTCTAAGCAATTACCGT